GGGCAATATTAGATTGTATTTGTCTATATTTCTGAGATGAAGAAATTTACGATATTTACATTATTCGGACTGGTTTCCTTATTTTTATTGTCATATTTACGAGGTTTCGGCTGTTGTACGATTCAGCCTTCTTCAGGTAATATACATTGGAATTTCAAACTGAAACTTTTATTTCGATCGCCGGGGAAGATTTTTTTCTATTTCTACGTGCCATGCCTTTTGTGGATATCTCGGTTCCAGTTATTTCCTTATAGTAACTCAACTCTCCAAGATTTGTACTTCTCTTTTACGGCCAAGAATTAAACTCACAATTCTCTAAGTCAATCACAGGATTAAATCAACTAACGCCATCATCCACTTGGGGATATCATTGAATGAAATTCTGGAAGTTATTAATCTAATGCTTCAGTAATCATTTTTTTACCAGGGCTCATATTATAATTTCTGTTATTGTTGCAGTACTCTAGCTCTCTGTATTATTGGTCCCCTATATCTTTTATATATATATGTATCCATGCGTGGACTGCTTGGGAGACTTTTATGGCCTGTTATGTACGTTGATTCTTTCAGTTTTCGTATTTTCCAGTGATGTTATCTGTCTATTATTTCAACTTAATCCTACAGATAGCTGTGATCTCCATTTTCCTTCCATTATTTGCTCATCAACGATTAATTTTTGCCCCCGTGGACTAAATAAAGCGTTCGGTTCAAAATTACAACGTATGAAACATGCAAAAGTCTGGAGCATGCCACGACCAATACATTGTGAATCTCTATCTATAAAAGGCAGGATGTGTGTGTGTAACGAATGCACAGGCGCAATTTTCAACGGATTTGCACCAAAATGTACATGCACATGCTCCAAGTTAGCGGGAAGGCCAAGACCGACGTTGCATTTCCCAACTCCCATCGATAGTGGAAATAATCCATTTTTTCATGCTTCTACGGCAGTTTTCATGTAGTTTGCGGCCATTTTCTACTGGCCTATAGCTGGCTGCCACGAATAGGCAGGAAGATTCTATTGGCCAGCGTGTAAGCCAACAGCTGACTGACACTAATTTTAACTAGCATGCTAGAATGCTAGCATGCAAAAAATCGATAGCTGCATTCGTCACAAGTGGAAAAAATTTAAGTCTACATGGCACTTTACTCCAATTGGCTCATTCGCTTGCTTAAACTAAACGTTGATTCTGATTCCGCAGAACTGGGTTAGGTGTGAAAAAGTATTTGTTGTTAACATTCTTGTTTCATTCGGTTTTTCCAGTTATGAGTTCTTTTTTTTAAAGTTGATCGTTTTGTGTTGATTTTCTTTAGTTCTTTTTTCGTAACAGATTTAATGTTTAGTATAGAGCTTAGAAAAAATTCGCAGTGTGAGATAGGCAAGAAGTAAGGCATGTAGCAACATGAGCACGGCAAAGGGCGCTCCTTTAAAGGCAAGGAAGGGCAAAAATATTTTAAGTCAAGTGATAGCGATTGCTGTATGAGTCGTACGATCTTTGAATCAAGCACGGGCAGCACCGTGCCATGCTACTAGTATTCAATAAAGATGAAGAAAATAGAACAAAGTAAATAGTGAAAATAAGCTCCATTTGCTGGTTACATAATATCTTGTTAGATGTATTGTATAATTGTAATAAATATTTTTGTTTTCAAGATTTCATGAGTATTATTGTTAATGTAAAAGAATTAAGCCTATTTTTGCATTATTTATGATATTCTTGATAGAGAAATTTTATTGAAAACTGGAACGAAACAGAACTTTCATAAACTATAGTTACCTAGGATCATATGTTTGCATTGGATACCACTCTTACACTGAATAAACCGTTCCTTTAATTGATGTGAGAGGTGGCTATTAAAACGATTTATGAAGTAACTTGAAACACGGAATGCTTAGATGAATCTTAGATACAATTACAGATGGTAACGTACAATAATTACCGAGAATCGACGAGGCTTACCGAGAAGTAATAAATAATTTTGGTGATGAGAATCCTGAACAGTGTTAAAGGATCTTGCACTTCGAAAAACAAGATGTATAAAAGCTTTGCTTAAAGAGACACAAAAGCGATATACATACAGAGAGCTTATTTACTTGTCAGATATTAGAAGACCGTTGACTAAATATTAAAAATATCTATTGATAAATCATACATCAATCTACTTATTTTTTTTTAAAATACGGATTTATCCATCCTTCACTTGAGCCCAATTTTGACCGAATATGTGGCAAACATATTTAAAATAAATCTTTGATGCATATTTTTCCTCATTGTTGAAATACCTTGGTGCAGAACTAATGTGAAAATTGACAGCGATCTCCTAAGTTACCTTAACGATTTTCCCTCTTTATTTGATAATAAAAATACGGAAATGGCCCAGGACAACCGAAAATGTTGACACAACCACATACATACATGCATGCACACATACGTACATACAAACTGAACAAACCTGTATAAAAACTATCCAAAAGTTCAGCATTTTCGAACGTTCTCAGTTATACTTTTAGACATTATTTTATTTTTACATTTTAACAGAATATATAGGTTTTGTTATTTATGTAACTAGAGTTATAGGCATGTTTTATTGTCCAAACACGGTCAGCATATTACGGCTGTGTTCATAGTTAATTTTACTGAGTGTTGATTTTTTTTATTATTAGAACTTACATTATCTTTAATACTTTTTTGGCATTTGGATGAGGTTAGGCTTTTATTTTCTACTAGAATGTTTCGGATGGAGTCTGGTAAGTTTGTGTGTTTTTAAATAAGTTCTAATGAAGCTGTGGTCGGATAGGTGTGATGTAAATACTCTGGATGGAATGTAGTAGTGTGACCGATGTAATTCATTATGAGTTTGGTTTCATCAGAATCACAGAACTTTGAGCGGTAGTTGAACTCGTAAATAATATTGGTTCTTGGTAGTTCTCTCTTTGCAGGTGTGTTTTTATTTTTTATGATAAGGGTAACTGTTGTAAATTTTGGTTATATATATATATATATATATATATATATATATATATATATATATATATATATATATATATGTGTGTGTGTGTGTGTGTGTGTGTGTGTGTATGAATGTATGTATCTATACACACACAGTGGTGGCAATAAATATTCCTACACCAAGAAATTGTTTAATTAACATTGTCATAACTTCTGAAAACACTGAAAAACATACAATATTTCTATACCACTGCATAATGATGCAATATGCAAAAAAAAAACAATTAGAAAACTTTTTTAAAAATTAAATTATTTTTTATTTATAAAATTTCGAGGCGAAGAAAGTATTCGTACATATACATACTTAATATCAAAAGGCTTAAATTACCTTCATTGGCATAATTCTTTGTGTGATTTTGCTAGAGGATTTCAATTATTTTATTGCCGTAATAATCCAGAACATTTCACAATTCATTTCTTATATAAGAACACAATCATACACAAAAACTATCATCAGGGAAAAGACAGTGAACTATCAAATTCGCAAAAAGAATTGATCATCAAACATTGGAAGGAAGGCAAAAGGTTTAGGAAAAGAGCAGATATCCTCTGAGAGAAATCCAGGAAGAATTAAATGGATCAGGTATTATTGTTACGAAGCAAACAATATGCAATTAACTTCAGAGAACTCAACTAAGATCGTATTCTCCATTTAGAGAAAAGACGGCAGAGACTTTGCACCGAAGAACAAAATAAAAACAGTGAAATTTGGTGGTGGCAATATCATGGTTTAGAGAAGTTTTTTTTCTTCTGCTAATGATACGGGTAATTTAGTGATAATTGATGATAGAATGAATTCAAAAATATATCAAGATGTTTTGAACTCTAATTTGTTTGGGTCAGTAGCAAAGCTTGGACTCCCAAATGAATGGATTTTGCAACATGATAATAAACCTAAACTTATAGCTAAATCTATGAAAAAATGACTTATTGTAAACAATGTCTATATACATGCCCATCATAGTCTCCAGATTTGAATCCAGCTTGTGGAGTTTATTAAAATTTCAAGTTAATAAAAGGGCTCCGAAAAAACATTCTCGATCTAAAGAGAATATGCAAAAAAGTATGGAATAAAATACTAACGGAAACTTGCAAATCATTGATTAAAGGCTACATAAAGAGATTGCTGTTGAATCGAGTGAGGGATATGCTACAAAGTATTAAATAGGTATTGTAATTTTATACAAATAATTTTTCGCCTACATTTTTTTATTTCATTAATGTAACATTAATGTAACACATCCTTAAGATTTTTTTTGCATATTGCAGAGTTATAACATCGTATACAAATATTGTATGCATTATAAAATTATATTACAAAATCTATGTTAAAAATTATAGTGTACTCATATGACTTCCCCCCCTATACACTGTAGATATAATTCACAAAAAGACGAAAGAAATTATAAATAACAAAGCAACTAGGATATTAGCGACAAATAGCGTAGCTAAAAAAGTTGAAATAAATTTGTTTAATTTCAATATGAAAAGATTATCACAAGCACTTGAAAGACATTTAAATATTTAATGAAAGTCAAATGAAGAGTTAATTTTACAACAGCAGCAGGCTTCTGTGAAATAAAGAATATAAAGAATATCTTGGGAAATCTTATCGGATAAACATCGAAAAGATTGAAGAAAAGAACATAAAATTTACTTTAGATTTAATAACACTAGATGAAATTGTGTGCCGCCGAAACCTTGGAATTCACATTTTCTGTGGGAAGAATATTGTTTGAATGCAAAGAAAATATACTGTGAAGCCAGTGCATTACAGTTGTTATCACGTACGTATTTCTACGATTAATAGAGAAACGACTTATCCCTTGTTCTTAGAAAATGAATCCTAAAACAATGTGGGATACAAAACCTCGAAATATATATATATATATATATATATATATATATATATATATATATATATATATATATATATGTGTATATTAGCGATTATGGTCACTTTACCACCTTTACTGTATTAGGTAATTATGCCGATATCACGTTGAAACACCAGTTCTACTACGATCACCCAAGTTAAGCAATGTCGAGCTTAGCCAGTACATAGACAGGTGATCGCTTGGGAATACCAGGTGCTGTAATCTTGGATGTGCGGTTGGTGTAAGGGTTAACTGCTCGGAATTGGAAATCAGAGAGCCGAGTTCTAATTCCAGTCTGGATCGTTATATTTACTAGTGGTAGGTATGAATCAACCTATTCTTCCCTGTCTATGGGTTAATTAGTAGGATATTTATCAGTAAATTATTATTATCTTCTAAACATTCTTACAATCTAAAAATATGCCCTGGCTTTAAATAACACGCAAAAAGCTGATAAACCGTAAAAAACAATTCATTTAACTAATTTGGATGTTAATCTAAGTGTCACAATGTTTTCGAACTCTGGAAAAATAATTGCGGGCTGTTATGTATATTGCATTCTATTTATAAGACAATATGTGTAACACAATATACTGCCCTCTATTTCCCCGTGTCTGTGTTCGTCAGACACACGGAGAATTGTAAAAGCGTTAATCATTTTCAGACTCTGTTCGTTATAAATTATGATTCCTCCCCATTACGTGTATTCGTAAAACTTCCATAATTACATTTACCATTGTGAAGAAGTCTCATTCCAGAAATAAAAAGTAAAATCTTTTTCATAATGATGCGGTCAGCTAATAAGCCGTAACAGGACAAAATGAATCAGAACAAATATTTTTGTTTATATCTTTTTTTATAACCTGGGCTAGGAAATTAATTTTACTCTCCTTCATCTGACAGATTACTGATTATAATAACTGTCCAATCCATTTTGGTAATGGTGTCCATTTTCCAATTCGTCTTCTCCAAATCCGACACTATCAATTTAATGGATTAAGTACTAAACACATCATGAACGACCAAGAGTTTTCATTTAGTTAAATATTAAACATTGTCTTAAAATCTCTCAGAGGGCCTTAATAATAGTCACCTTATCCGACTTTGTGACAATGAAATTTCATTTATTAAGCGGAAGTACATTCAACTTAAATATCGTTGCTTAATTACATCGAGCAATGTTTAACACCCATTTCTTGATTTTACTCACTTTGACGATGCCATAAAGGTTTGACCGATACCTTCCACAGGAATCTTTAAGTATAACAACATCTGGAAAGTATTTGGTTTTTCGAAATCTTATTTAGGTGATAGCACTTATTTGGTTTATTGCTTTTAAGGTTTCATAAAATATTTCGGACTGCATAACTTACGTTTTGCATCGGCTTTACAATTCGTAAGCCACGTTTTTCGTAAGTTTTACAAACAGTACAAGCAACACTTACAATATGTGTTATTCTTTCCCTGTATACCCTCAACTTATACGCAGGAACTTTCCCCAATCATTTCCTCGATTCTAATAAAAACTGAACCTGTTTTTACTATCGTAAAAATGTCAGTTCTCATCAAATAATCAGTAACATTTAGATAATTATTCTTATGAAAGTTTTTACATGTTTCATAGTATCTAGGTCTTTTGACTCCAGAAAAAAACAGACCAAAGTCTATATTTTTTAATCTTTTGAAAACCAGAACTGTGTTTACGCCATTTTCCTATAGCTAAAACAGTACATGTGTCTAGCTTATTGTCTCTGTCGTAAAAAAAAAACAAAACAAACTTGTCTATATTTTGACGATTCGTTGGTATTATCTCTTGTAAACTATATTCTCAATAAAATGCTACATGTGTTGTGTGTCGTGAAACACACTAACCAAACGTTATCTAAACCATTTCTATTCTTTATAATATATAAGTATGTAATTGGCTAAATTATACAAGAAATATATAATAATAATACAATTGGTTGAATTATACAAGAAATATACAATAAGAAACTTATGTGAGAGTTATATATTTTACATGTTTTTTTTATTATCAGAGAAATAATATTAGAAGAAAAATCTCTTTTGTTTATATTCAGAAGTGTTCAAAAGCAAACGAACATTTTCGCAGCTAAGAAAATCAATTGGGAAAGGTCAGTTGGGAAAAGACACAATGTCAATCTATCATCTCAAGTGAAATTCCTTTTTGATTTGAAAAAAAAAAACTCGACTTCTACTTTTGTAACAAGTAAACTTCTTTTTACTTACAGCCTCAAATAACTTGTCATTGTAATAAATAGTAAGAAAAATTGACAGATCTTCAAATACAGAAAGATTTAAATATTTTATAGGAATTTAATAATCAACTGAGATTTTGGAAGGATCTTTATGGCAACCGTTTGGTTGGCTGGTTTGAATGTCAGTTTACACTGGCGTGAAAACAAAATTCCAATTTTGAATTTTCGTCCTTCTTCTGGTTTATTATCCTCTGTGTTTATTTGATGTTTGGCAAGGGTTTAAATATACAACACAAATGATTCACTACAAAGCTACCACAGAAATAGACTTACGAGTAAACATTGTAGGTTTTATATTAATAGTAATATTATAAGGAGTGAAAGATAAAATTTCCTTTATAAGGATGTAGTTTGGCATAAAAAACACCATGAGATTTTTAAGGGTTTAATTCTTTCTAATCATGAAAGCATTTAGTGAGATACCCTTTCAAATACAAAACTAATTAAAGCAAAGATTCAAAGCAGAAAAAAATATATTTTTCTTTGCCGAAAGCCTCTTCAGAAGAGGTTGTCAACTTTCCATTAGGTTGTGCATTCGGCCTGTGAATTTCTTTACAACTTGATTTACATAATGAAAATAGCTAATGCATCCTTTGATGTTAATCGTATCTTGAGGGTTTTCAGGAGAAGGTTTGAAATTGCAGTGTTAATGAGTTTATTTGCAGGCAAAACTTAAAAGGGAAAATCTTTTTTCTATTCAAATTAAATGTGTTGAACATTTACATAGAATTAAGTAAGTTTAACACACGTTTTGTATAATTCAGTATATGAAAAATATTCTTCTCTTCTAAAATCCCCCCAAAGATACACATGTGGTCACTTTTCCCCGTCTTCACATTTTCGTAAATATTCAATCGCTAACATCTTCGATCATTTTATTCTATTTGTTATTTAAGCATTTTATTAAATATATGTTGTAGCTATTTCCTTAATTTTTATTGTCTTTAAACTACAATTTCATCCTGTTTTGGTGTCTTTCTTCTAATGAGTCTATTCTGAACTCTTCCACCTACTATAAAATTAGTAGGAAAGTAAGCCTCGGGCGAAGAGTAGTATAGATTGTTCTACCAAGGCTGTGACTGTTCGCAGCTGTTGTCGAACTCTCTGCCTTTGGGCAGAGAGGAACCCGGACGAGGGTGTACCGAAGGGCGCAGTCTCTTCCGACGAGGTAGACAGACCTGAACCCGTTTATGCGTTCTACAGGGATTTTATGCCGACCCTACGGGCTCGGATAACCCGCGTTAAACTCGGCCTTGTGACACATCTACCCTCGTGGGGTGGGTGGGGGTCTACTAAATATCAATAGTCAACCGACACACACTCCCAAGTTGTGTAATATTCTTCGGTTTTGTTTTCTATTCAATACACGATTTATCTGCAACCTCTTGTTTTGTTATTTCTTAACCATTTACTTGATTACAACACATTCGAGATATTCTTTGACCGTTAACTTTTAGAAGGCATTTATTGCACTTTCTCATTTGCTTTTTGAACTCCAGCGTCTGTATTTAGGCGCGGACAGACGAGTTCGAAGGAAGTTCGTGAATAATTAGCAAGTAATCATCAACATTTCAAAAGATACGAATTGTTCATAGTGTCATAGCTAATCATTTTTAAAAAACGTCGACTTTAAAACTTGTGAATTTTATACTGAATTTAATAATTTTCTGCAGCAATGCTCTCTATATGACAATAAAATTGCATTCTATTTTCATATACGTTTATAGTTTATGAAAGAATATGTACAATGCCCTTGATATTGTCGATAAAATCTCAACCTTCCCCAGAAATCAGTTCAGGCCGAGGTAAAGAATCAAAAGCACTTATTTTAAGTTGCGAAATTACATTTCTTTCCTCAACGTATTGCGACCGTCTAATAAGTTGCATTAATTAAATATAAAAAGGAAAAAACACTTCCCTTATAAGTACATCAGGGATCACGTGGTAATAAAGTCACGTCGCCCTTGTAGCTATAAAACTTTAGTAAGAACGTAATTACCTTTAGTTAGTAAGAATTAACAGCACAGGCAAATATATTGCTTTTCTTCCGTTTGAACTTCCATATTCTCCACAATATTATTTCGTTCCTATAACTGCTCCATTTTTGACCTACGACAATTTAACTCTCCGAATAGTTTTTTTGAAATCAAAATGAATCGACTTGGGCATTATTATCAGTTGTCAGCTTCAAATTACTTTCGTTATGGGGATATGCCATTGCTGGAATCATTCTAAGAAATTGTTTTTCAGAATATCTTCCATTAACGTCGACACGTGTTACTCAGTGTCTTGCATGTCAATAAATGGAATGAAACGTGAAAATACGGTTATTTCTGTTCATCAATCAGGACTAGAGTCAGCATTATTGAAGAGCTTTTGTCAAACTCAGATTCTCAATTCTCTAATATATTTAAGTTTCGATGTATGTTATGAATATCAACAAAACATTTGTCCTTTCGAAGCATTTTTCAATATTAAAAATAGTCAAAAAATCACCTAGGTTTAGGTGAATAAGCTGGGTGCCACAGTAGGCATCTAAAAATCACTTCTTCCGATAAAGTCCTAAATGAAATCATGTCACACGAAACCTTTTTTTTTTTTTTTTTAACATGTCTGGTTTTCCTTTCCGGGTAGACTTAGTTGAATAGCAAGCAGAATTTTTAATTTCACACAACTACGTGGCGCATCATAGGTGACATATACGCACGTTTAATGTTTTTATTTCTCTTTTCTTAAGTTATAAGTCTTAACCTATGCATCGAGGCAATTCTGAGAGAAATGGATGTCCTACTAGGATTCGTCATTGGCGGTCACAATTCTAACAACATAAGATACGCAGATGACACAGTACTGATAACAGACACGGAAAGGAAACTATAAATATAGCGAAGGAGAGCGAGAAGAAAGGACTAACCATAATCTACAAGAAGACAATGAATGGTCA